TATATGAATAAAAAAATGCATATTGTTTTCCTCAAATTTTCATTAATGATTATGGTCAAATTTGGACCACTAGGCGAACACTAGTATTAATAAATGCCCCATATGGAATGTTTTTTTTTTAAATGTTTTACTATCTACTTCCATTTCAAACGTCAAGGGAGAATCAAAATCAAAATATTTGTCAACTTCATTATTTCTAATGAAACACTCTGTATTTTTAAATGTGTTGAGAATATAAACTTCGATGAAACAAACATAAAAGAATACAACAGATCGTCCGAGAAGCGTTTTACTTTAGAACAGATTTTCCCTCTCATAGTTGAGAGACTGCATGTCTACCTAGTAAATCATTCGCCATATTGATTTTTCCGACAACTTGCATTCTCCTTTATACGGTTGAAGTTCTCGCAAGTAAACAAACTTGAATTCATGTAATTCGACCTTAACGTTTAACTTGGGGGCTTCCCTTTAGGATGTTCAGGCACAGCCGCCTTAATCCAAACATTCAACTGTTTTAGCGGTCCCCGGAGCGCATTTGTCCGTTGCAAGTGCAAACGCCTATCAGGTATAAAGTCCGCGTTAAACGTAATTTCTGAATTATTTGCCTACCTTGTTACGGTAATCCTTGCAAAACACATATTTAATCCTGAGTTTAAGCCAGATTTAGAGCGGAGCGTAAGTGGCAGAAGCAATAGAAACAGTTACGGACGAAGAGAAAATAGACGAAATGACAATATGGCGGCGGGATAGCTCGTTAACTATCCCAATTGTCAGTGGTGGAGGCAATAAAATTTGCATACATGTTTGCGAAAATGAAGGTCTAGCATTTTACATAAAATATCTCCGCTGACAGGCATAAAATCTTTATAACGCGTAATATGAAAAGTTGATCGCTGCTCGGTAATTTTTGCACTCTTCTGGATTTAGACACTGAGTCGTGATATAATCAAATGTTTGCTTTTTAAAATATCTTAAAATAAACGAATGGGCCTCGATGCTCTTAAGCAGAATATAGTAGCGCATTCGATTAAATTTTTTATTTTAATCTCATTAGGGAATTGAGCTAATTATAAAAGAGCCAGGTACCAATTTTTTTTTAATTCAAAAGGAAAAACTTTGTATTTCGTGCAAATTTTTATTTGTGCTTAACATTGCGACTGTGTAAATAAAAGTAATAAAAATGAGAAATTAGGTAAAGGATTGCTTAATCCAATCGAAATTATCAACAGAAAAACAAGTCAAAGGGTGAAAAACTACCGAACTATTATAAAAGTTAAAAAACATCAATAAAATGTTTGATAGTAAAACACAAAAAGGTAAAAAGGTAAAGAGGTTTTTTAGATACAAACTAACAGTTAAAAGAATTATAATCCATTAAAAGAACCTCGCACGTGTAACGAGGTCACTAAGTTTTTTCTTAATTTTATTTATAAATTGTTTACTAAAATTTAATTTGCGGAACATTTACGAGAACCCCTATAATGGGCGTGTTTAGTGAAATTCAAAATTTTTTTCTAAAGGCTAGCACAAAATCTAATCTAAAAATATTTTTTTGAAATTTTTCTCTTTACAAATTTTCCTACAAGAATTTTTTAAAATTCAAAAAAATCAAGCAAATTTGAAACGCGTGCCACAATTATTTTTAAGCATCGTCATAATGAAGCCTAAAATCTGATTGGCCAATTTATAACCATCCAAACAATAGTCGATATGTTTTCATCTTGTTGCCGCTCCTTATAAAGAATTATTGAAATTCCGGATTAAAGAATAATTGTTTAAATTCAGTTTTTATGAAGCAACTTGACACTTACTATTTCAATAAACTTTTCTTTTTAATCGAAATGTTATTCAAATCATAATCGCCATATCGCAAAATATTTTCTCCTAATCTGGCAAAGTTGTTGCATCCTGCGTCTAATGTCTAAAATACTAACCTCTTTTTCGATTGCGAGATTGTTTTGATTTATTTTAATGATTTAATTTTTTTAAAAATGTCCAAAGTACAAATAGGATTAAAAGAAGAATCTTTTTACAACTTACCCAAAGTGTATTCTAACATGATTAATGATTTTTTATTTAAATAATATAAAGTTTGTTGACTGAAATTCGCAACGTAAGTACACTTTCTAGAATTATTGTTTTCAAAGAAATTTGTATTTAAGAAAGAAACATTTTTTTATTATACAAACTAACTACTTACTATTGTTAACTTTTTCTATTCTATTGTAGGTCTTCCAAGGAAGTGCACTATCATATGTTCAGTTACCATTTGTAACATTAATGCTAGAATTACACCAGAACACAAAATGTTTATAGCGTTATTCAGTAATAAATGAACAAAAGGAAAAGTTCATATCTTGTAAATTCACATAATATTCTGCTCTTCAAGGTAATTTAAATTAATGCCAATATGAATAAGCTCAAAATACGGATTAAATGATTTTACATAGGTTCTATTTTTTTTAAGGTGGGTGTATAGTGTTGCTTTCTTGTTGTGGCTGAACACCATCGAAGTGAATAACCTTCCATCACATCAACATTTGTTATTAGAAAAGGCCACTGTTGTCAAAAGTTTGAAGTTCTATTGATTAGAGGATGTCGATTCTTCTTCGAATTAAAAAGATTAAATGTGTGCTTTTTATAAATAATAAGAGTGAATAGATTTATATTAAATGCAAAGTGACCAGAAAATTATACTTCTATATTCAACTGCAAATGTTGCTTTCTAATAAACAATGAGTTTCTGTGTGGAATATCCAAATTTTGAAATAAATAAGGACGTTCAAATAATAGAAGTTTATTTTTCATGAACAAGAACTAAATGATATGAATCCGGCAAATATTTTTTGGAATTGTTATATATTTTTAATGAATTCAAATAAAAATAAGTTTTGTCATTTTCTTCAGATTTATTTATCAATTACCTATTATATTACCGTTAACCGAGTCTTTTAAAAAGGTTTATTTATGGTAAGACATTATCAGTTTACTGTATAGGTATTCTGCCATCATAAGCAAAACCCCAGTAACTACGCAAACTATAGAATGGAGATATTTGCAATACAAGAAATTATTAGTGCCCAGCATTTTCATCGGTGGTACCAATATAGCTGCATTTGTTGAATCAAAGACAATTTTTGGATAATGCTTTGAAGTAGGTAAAAATAGGTTAAATTTGTTCTTTGTGTTGGCTCGTGTTTTAAAAGGTTATTGCTACAAGAGTGTTAGTTATGGTGTAGAATCAAGTTGACTTTTTAGGACATAGAATAAATATTACATTTTGCTTACTTTTTAAGAAGAAAAAAGCTTTACTATTAAAATAGTCAAATAATTGTAATTTGTCAGTTACGGGGGTTAGGCTTATGACGGCAGTATAGTCCAGGCATTTACTTTTGTGAAGTTGCATAGATTTCGCCAAACTACAAGAATTAAAAAAAAAACCCTTAAATGATTTGCAAATTTTAAAGTAATTGTTTTTTAAATACATCAATTAGCTTTTGTTAAATACATATTAATAATAGAAACTTAATATGAACATAATATATAAAACACAAGTTTAATGAATTAAGTTTTTGTACATATTGTAGGTAACTTATTTATACATTCCCGTTTAAAAAGAATACAATAAATAACAGGCAAGTTTTATTATAATCATTTAAGTAATTAAAACATGATAATACAATTCAAATTTTCAATTTTTTTTTGGCAGGGTCAGTTAAAGAACCTTTTAGATGGTATATTTATGTAGCACATCTTGTTTTATTGTCAAATTTTTAGCCATAATTTTGAAATGGATTAAGTTTTCTGCATATGCTTCCACCTAAAAAATAATGCAAACTAATTAGGTAGTATCCTCAGAATCAGTGCTAAGTAAAAAGGTAGGCACACCTATATTGACTTACTAGTTGATCAACTAGGTGAACTAGTTCAGTTATATCAATTTATATCACATTGGAGACAAAAACAATTCAAGATTATCTTTACTTACATCAAAATACAAAAGCACGATGGTGGTTTGTATATCGCAATAGCCCTTATTTCACTATCGTTTTTGAATGTCTAGGTCTAGATTTAGAGGAACTTTTATAAACATTTTATCAGATTGACTGGTTTCTTTTATTTCTCATAGGGACCAAGTACTTAACCAGACATTTTTAATGTTACACAAAATTAAACAAATGTTTATTTTACACACTTTTTAAAAGCAATTTCAATGTTTTGTTTCCAACAATTGATTTGAGGTTAGAAATTTTGACATTTTTGTATCATGAGAAATGAAAACACAATTTTAATCCGATTTTAGAAAGAGATAATTATCATAAATGTCACTATTAGAAAAAGATAACGATCAACTGTCTAGTGTTACGGTATCAGAGATTCTTTAGTGATCAATAGAAATAGGCGCTTCATTATGACGCGATTAATGGCGCAAAAATGGAGTGTTTTAAATAATTGATTTAAAAGTGAACTTTTTAAAGTACTATAACTTTATTATTTATTATCTATTTAAAGAATTTATTGCATGAAAAAAAAAAGTTTTTTGTGCTTAAACAGGTAATAGTATTAGATTCGTTAAATTCGTTTACACTAGAGTCGTAGAAAATGAGCAGACATCATGAGAAATCGGTAGATTTAAATTTTAATATAAATATACATTCTAAATTAGTAAACATCAAAAATCAGTATGTTTGACAACGCTGCAGTCGAGTAGCAAGCCGGGACGAGGGGGTGTGCGTGGCACGTGCAGCGAGCATCCAGTGTCTCAATCGGTTTGTTCCATTCTCATTTTGTTTTAATTAGTTAGTCATAGTCCAACTACCTACGTTCGTTGGTTTATTCTAAGTGCTTGATTATTTTCAATTTTAATTTAAAGTTTGACAGCAAAGGCTTAATAACTGCTCCAGATTTTAATATGCAAGTAAAATAAACCTGGTTTGTTTTGTTTAGATCACAAGGTAATTCTAAGTAGGTACTGTGAATACTATTTCGTTTCCAGAAAAATGCCACCGAAACGAAAGTATGACGGAGATTATATTAAACTGGGCTTAATTTTAATAGAAAGAAATGATGCTTTAAAGCCGGCATGTAAAGACGGTACATCCGAAGCATTAGCTGCCAAAACGCTCCCGGAATGCTTTGCTATTGCGATGAAAACAGTTATAAAAGTAGTTAACTTCATTAAAAAGAGTACACTTAATACTTGTCTCTTCAAACAATTGCGCTCAGATATGAACTCTGAACATGCTGTCGAGGTTGTACGAACTGAGAAGGGAAGTACAAATATTTTTAACTGACAAGGAGAACAAAGAGTTGCTGGATCAGTTCTGTGATTCCAAATTTATGATACGTTTTGCTTATTTGGTTGATTTTTTCGCACAACTAAATAAATTAAACCTTTAGCTGCAAAGGTCAGGAAATTTGAAATTGCAAGGTCCGAGCAATATATTTGCATATGAAGATAAAATAAGTGCGTATATCGCTAAAATCAAGTTATGGACCAAGAAAGACGAGAGAGAAAACTTTTCTGCGTCTGATACGCTGAATCAAATTATTGACGGACAGTGTACTGAGATTAAAGGAGAAATACAAAAGAATAATGCACTTCATTTGAAAAACCTAAAAAGTGGATTTAATCGCTAGGACAAAGGTATTTGAAAACCAATCCGCAATCCTTTCATTGTCAATGTTTCTGAGGTGCCTGCTAAAATTCAAGAAGTGATTGAAATGCAACACGATAGTAACTTGAAAGATATATTCGAGAAAGGAAATTTTTGAAGCTAAAAGCCCATTTCTTTCCCGAATGTTCGAGAAATTGCTATACATTACCTAACTTTGTTTTCATCGACATATCTATGCGAGCAGGGTTTCTCGGCGCTTCTCATAATTAAAAGCAATCACAGAAATCGGCTGGATGCTAGTTGCCGACATGCGTTTGGCTTTAAGTAACACTGAACCTAGGATTCAGAAGTTAGTAAAGAGTGTGCATTCACAAAAATCTCATTAACATATTTTCTCTGTAATGTAACATTTTCGTAAATAAATTAAAATATTGTTGGCTTTGAACATTTTTATGTCCGTTTTATTTATAGACAAAACAACCCTTTATTCATTTACTGTATATTAACTCCAAACAGTTGGTGGTCCATGGCAAGGCAGAAACTTTGTCAAATGGTCCCTCATTACTAAAAGGTTGACAACCACTGCTCTAGAGTTTCCGTTTACAAGAGCCCCACCCCCCACCCCCCCCCCCCCCCGCAGATTAAAATATATAATATCTTACCGAAATTCGAATCCTGTTTTAAACGCTCAAGTTCTTGTAAATTATCTCGTAAAATTCGCTGTTATCAGGAGGGTATTTTTTGTTAGCACCTATTGTAAACAGTAATTGTGGGAAGTGGTACTCCCCCTTCGAACCATCGAGGTCCGAGGACGAAAGACCAGCATACATTAAAATGCAAATGTGCCCAGCCAATGAGAACGCTCGGGCACCAGCCGGGTGTGGCCTATGTGCCGCCAAATTCAAACTTCTAATTTATGTCAATTTTGTTAAGGAACTTGACATTTGGAGCTTTGGCAGTAATTAACCTTACCTTAGATTTTAGATTTCGTTGGTTTGGTTAGTGAAATTATCTACCTAACTTTTCAGCATTTTTAATTTTGAACATAAACTAAACTTATTCTGCGGTTTACAGCAGGAAAATATGGAATCACAGGGGAGGTAATTATTTTTTATATTGTGACATTTTCAAGATAAACATATTAAGATTATAATATAAATCTTGTGTTTATTTTACAGCCAACAGAATGTGCCTAATGCATATTAGACCAAACGTTTACTTCTCGACATCCAGAAAAATGTATTGAACTTTATTTAACCGTTAGGTTATCATGTATATTATAACCATGCATCTTTTCAAAAAATATACATAATATATATTTTTTTAATTGGTAATTTTAATACATTTGTATTTAAATGTTTTAAATATACCTAGTAAACATATGCTATTGTACCTATTCGTTTTTATTTTCCCTCTCATTTATTATTTAAAAATATACATATAAAAAAATAACTCACCATCAGTAGAGGTATCAAAATAAATATTAATTATTTATTCTAATAATCACATTCTATTATTCATAAAGTGTGGAAACTCTCCATTATCTTAAGAGTTCATTATTTTCGAAGGTCATATTTTGTAAGGTAGTGGAAGTAAAACTTATTTAAAAAAAAAAGTAGAACTAAAAATATCCTGTTTTATCTCGAAAAATAATTAACTCGTAAGATAATGGATCGTTTCCACACTTTAATAATTTACTTTATGTACGCAACGCAGCTCTTTTTTTCATAAAAAATTTGAAATATTTCAATCCATCACAATACATACTTAAAAATGTGTCCTTAATACAAAAATTCCCCATAACTACATAAATTGGAATTTTGAATTTGGCGACATATTTGAATCCATCACAGAACCTACTTAAAAATATTTCCTTGATACAGAATTCCGCATAACTACATAAATTGGAATTTTGAATTTGGCGGCACATAGGCCACACCCCCGCTGATGCCAGAGCGTTCTCATTGGCTAGGCACATTTGCATTTTAATGTATGCTCGAAAGACCGAGCTAGTCAGAGGGAAATAGTACAAGAATTCGAAACACACGAAGTGAACTCTCACTTCGTTTCCCGCTGTATGAGCTGCAAGTTCCGATCGAGCAGTCTATAAAGTTTGTGGAAAGTATATCTTAGTTTTTTTTACCCTACATAATTCTGAAATGGGTGCTTTTATTCCTAATAATTACTACTGAAATTTGTTGCACTAACCTGAGAATCGACTAGTGTTTACCACCTAAATTTTATTACAGACCGAGAAAAGAAGGGACTTTTAGAGCCTTGTAATTGGCAGCGTAAAACTTTTTTTAATTTCGAAATCGAATCCGCCGCGGCCTGCCCGATGGAGTGCCGTTATCACCATTTAATTTATTTCTGATCTATTTATTTTTTATTGTTTAACTATTGGGAGTTAAATAATTAGTTAATTATAAATTAATTTTCCTATTATACAGTGAGTACAGGTAGTACCGTTTATTTTATTTCTGTTCTAATAATTGTTTTATTTGTTTAACTATTGTGAGTTAAACAGGTAATTGAAAATGAATTCCCTTATTATACAGGGTGTGCCGGTAGCACCGTTTATTTTATTTCTGAATAATTTTATTTTTAAATATAATTTTGGTAATAATTCCTGTTTCTTTTCTTTTATTATTATAAGGTGGGCGGTAGTGTAGAGTTATATTTACTTGATTATTAATGACTACCTCATTAGCGGTGACCGCCTGGAATCAATTTAACTCCACTGAGTTTACTTTGGGCGTGCTTCAGGTGCATTCCAGATTCCAGGGTCGCAGACTTTACAGCGTTATCAAAACTGGCGCCCGAGCAACCCTTGTTCTAGAGAACAGCCTGGCGACAACTACGCCTTTCTAGTGACTATTAGGTGAAACAGGAAGGCCTTTTAAATCTATTTCGGCTGTCAATTCCGGGACATGAAACTTGGGGCATAGCTAGTTTTTACCATGCTGTTCAAAAGTCTCCATGGGCCAAAATAAACTAATTGACAAGATTTCAAGATATTGGTAACTGAATGTGTTTATTCTGCTCATCCGTCAATAACACTTTTTTCTTTGAAATAGTATTTAAAATTGTGTTTATTATGGACATTAATGGTGTATATGTACTATTGGATATAATTGTATATTCCATTTATAGCTTCTGACTTCATCTACTGTGAAGTAGGTAGTCTGTGTGGCGCTGAGGTGGTGAAATCAGAATAAGGGCTGCTCAGGCGCCAGTTTTGTTAACACAGTTTGCTCAGCGACACTGTAGCACACCAAAGTGTATTCAAGTTAAACTCAGTGAAATTAAAAATACGTCCAGGCAGTCACCGTAAAAGAAACAAAGGAATTATTAAAAAAATATATTTAAAAAATAAAATAAAACACTCTAGCAACTCAAGGTACAGTATCGGCACAGAGTATCGGCATCTCCGGTATATCAGAAAATAAAGTCCTGCGCGTAAAAGTCAAAGCAGACTTAAAACAAAATGTACGTGGTTCTTCCTCTTATCGTCTCAAATATTGTAAAAATGCACAATTATATAAACTATTACACGTGCTAAATTTAACGTAATACAAGTAGTTTCATATCCTTTTGCTTTGTCAGGCCTCGGATTGATTTTTTTTTAATTGGATATATTTTAAATTTATAATTAGATGATTCTACCAGCGCAGCGCTTCAATCAGTTGTGGGAAATAAGTGACAATATGAATGTCAATCTAGACGAACGTCAAACATTGATAAAGTGAGAACATATGTAGGTTACTACAGGATGATTCAAATGAAAGCACAATGTGAGATTAATGAGAGAAATATTATTTTTAAGATTTTCTATGTTTAAAAACCTCTAAGGATTTAAATTGATTCCGTTTGGCTCTAACAAAAGAACCAATAACGGCACCGGAAGCTTCAATCATTAAGGAGATTAAATTATTAAATAAGAGAAAGAGTAAATAAAGGAATTTAGAAATATGAATTGGTTTTTTTATTTTTATATATTTTTGAAAATGAAATGAAAATGTAAAATATAAATAATAAATTAAATTGTATTTTTATGTTTTAAAAATAAATAAGGATTGAATCGGTTTCGTTGTTCCATCACTATATACAGAATAGAACCAGAAACGCCATCGCAGAATCCTCAATCGAGGTAAATGTGCTTGTACCATCCTTAAACAAAATGTATTTTATTAAAAAGAGATAAATATTTATTCAGTGTCAAGATTAAACAAAAAATCATTTACATGTATATATAACAATACTTTTTTTTACCTTTTTGTATTTTACTATTAAAAAGTTTATTTAAGTTATTCAAACTTTTGTATAGTGAGTTTTTGTGTTTATTCCCTTTTGACAAATTTGGGTGTTGTAAATTTCGATTGGGTTGGCTATCCTTTACCCGGACAAGCTAAGCTTGTGGAATTCCTTAGTTTCAAAGAATTTAGCTTAATTGGTTTTGCCAACATAAATCTCTTTTTTATAAAATTTTTGTTAACCTATGGTAACTGTTCTTTTAATATACTTTTTATCACATTTATTTACACAGTCACAATTTTATTGTGTATAAACACTGATATGACCTAAAGGGCTTTAAAAAAATAATTTTTGAAGCAAGAAATATAAAGTTTTTCATTTGCGAATGTTAGGCTACCACCTTATTTAGTTTATTTAAACTTTTTTTAATGAATAAATGAGAAAGACATCAACATGCCGTATTTTTAATTAAATTGCTCCACATTTTTTTGTCCCTTATGTTCTCCTTTTAGTTTGTAACAGCAGTAATGTACTCTAGAAACAGGTGTATTGCATAATAAAAACCAAGAGAAATAATTAAGATAAAAAGAAACGCACAAAGTTTTAGTGGTGAGTGGAACGAAAACACAAGAAAACTATTACAGAAAAAAACTCAAAAGTATTTCTACAGATGTTAGTAGAAAATAATATAAAAGAATGCAATCGTTAGGATATTATGAAAAAATTACATTATATAGAGTCCTAAAAAGGGTAACGTAGAAATTGACA